AATTACTGCTGCTTCTACGACATTCTCATTGAGAACTTCTATTGTAGTCTAGTTCCGACGCACAAAGGGCCCTCCACTACCACCATAAAATGGTGGTAGTATTGGACGATGGTATTTTCTTTAAATAACAGAATTAAAAGAATTGTATTCGAAGACATGTTTAACTCGTCGATGATGTTTAACATTAAGTCTTTATACCTTTTTGACTGGAGAGAAGGCATTCCATCTTAGTCCTTCAGGATGACAACGCATACGGTTGTAATATGATTTATTTATTCGTACGATATATTTTAATATTTTTAATTTAAAAAATAAATATAATACAAATATTTTTAATAATTTGAGATTTTCATATTTTTTTATATACTCTGATACTAACTCGTATAATAAGGCTCTATGCCTCTGTCTTGCATTATAGTGACAGCAGTTTGAACTGCGGCTGAGCTCTTCACCTTTAAGGCGCGTTTTAAAACATCATGGACGTAATTACATTTTTGACATACTCTAATTTAGGTATTTTAATTGCAAGGCAACTTATGTACGCACACATGGAATTGGTTTTCCGCTATATTTTATATATTATACCTAACTAAACTAGACACTTGCTCAGACCAACGAAGAAAGAAAGGCTTCAAGTGAAGCAGAAACCATGCTCAACTTTATATACGCACTTGAGTACAAATTTTTCTTCTTTCTTTCTTTATAAGCCCGTAAACGTTAGCACACATATGCACCTAAAACCGTGGTAACGGTTGCAAATGATTTTAAATGCATACATGTACTTGAGTGAGTCCTCTTACTATAAGGCTAGCATGTTTTTGACTTGCTTTTTGCATCACTTGAAACATACGCAGTCTCTTTTCTTGAAGTTCCCGAAGACGTATCGGTCCAGAAAAATCCCTGGAGGCGCGAGGAAAATAATTTTCCTAAATCGCACAGTGGTGGATCACCAATCATCCAGATGGTATGGATGGGATCGCAAGTTTTGTTGCGATGTGCGGTGGTGAAATGGATTGGCTAAATTAGTCCAAACAATTCCTCAGATCACCCCCCATGGTAGTTGCGACAAAATATGCAACATCCCTTCGCAGTGAGTCAAGCCGATCAGAAAGGGCTCGGTTGCTGAAGATTTGAACCGCTCTGCGCTGGTTGTGATTAAATGAAAGGAACTGGCAACGGGGCGCCCCACCCCATAGATGGGAACTGTATTTCATTTGAGGCCGAACCTGCGCCTTGTAAAGTTTAAGTCGGTGTGTCGGAATAAAATACCATGCCGCCTTCACTTCCAAGTGACCATGAAATTGCACGTCACTCAATATATCGATACCGAAAATTCCGATACTGGCTTAATACAAGGAGAGTGCCCTGAAACTGAAGAGATACGACAAAGGGGTTCTTTCTAGCGGTAAACGCGCAAACTAATGGCTCCTGGGGATTAAAGTGGACAAGATTTAATAGCTCCCAATTCGATACTTTGTTCAACAAAGTTTCAACTTCAGACACAAGTTTGTTCCGCTACTCGGCGACGTTTTTCCGAGAAATATTGATATGACTGGTGTATAACCGCTTTACAACACATCATTGATAATGTAACGCCGGGGGGGCGGGGGTATCGATTCCCCTCTAACTATATCTTTAAATATTATATTTTTTGTTTTGTATAATAGTAGCAGTCTATAAAATATAAAACTAACGTGACCCCCCCAAACAACCATCGCAGTGACGCTATGCTGCAAAACGCAACAAGCATCAGTACGACTATGGTCTGGATTACACTATCCCAAGATCCCTCATACAATCTCTGCAGATATCACCACTCGCATACTTCCATCGACCAGACCACAAGATGCGTTGAATCAGGCGCAGCATATCCGCAGATCCATCACAAGACGCAATACCGCAAGTACCAATAAACATCAATGCAACTACCATACGAATGGCACCCTCTCACAACACACCCACATGATTCCTATTGGCTTTGGTTACAAAATGGTAGGTACTGTTGTTGATCAAAAATAACATCAACGTATCATAATAGCACGCTACTAAGACGCCAGTAGTCAAAAATCCACGTATCTTAGCGGTAATGCACTAAGAGATGCAGTTGAGTATGTTTGGTGCACTTAAAAAGTGCTACCAAACACAGTCATCCCAATCTGTGTATCTGTGTGTGCGTATCATAACGATATGCCTAGGACACATCGGTTAGCGTGTCCAAGTTTACTCCGGACTCGGACGCTATGATATAATCTATACGCCAATATAAAAATCCTTTTCAAGTCCTATTTCAATAAGTAAAATTGTTTTACATATTTGAAACCTTCCACATATTTTGTTTATTTCATAGACTTACTATTACATTTCTTTAATATATAGAAATTCAATCCACAATTCTACTATTGTAATGTTTATGCATCATATAAACCTTCTATAATAGTGCTTTTATCATAGACCTTACTATCATAAGTCCCTAATATAGGATTATACATGGTGCAAGAGTACTATTGTAGTTAGTCACCCGACCACCACACATATATATATATATATATTTATATATATATATATATATATATATATATATATATATATATACCGATGCGTATACTATATAGTATACTATAAATAATTCCAATTATAAATAGTATTTATCTTTATTATAGTATGTTCGACTTGTGTTTCTTTTATTATTTATACATTTTTAATATTTAACAGTGTTAATAAATTTAATGATTTTTGAAGGCAATATTAAGCCTTTACTTTATTATAATACTTTATGTCTGAAATGAATGTACTTTAACTTTGTGCTATTTAATGTATTTTTAGTTGTTTGAAATATCAATTTTAATATACTTTTAGACGACTTTATACTAAAATTTATTATTAAGTATTGATAATTGCTAATAATATACTTGGGGAGTGACAAGGGCGATACGTCAATTAGACAAGCTAGTTAATTGCACACTGGTTTAATGAGACAGCGACCGTTCGGTGGGGGACGCAGCCCGCACACCCTTACACATATACATACACAACAATAATAATAATGCACAGTCACAATATGCAAAGGAAACAGCGTTGGTGATAGCACACAGCCTAGTGTAACAACAGCGTTAATGGGCTTTCTAATTGGAGCATGCATCGTCAACTACGACCTTCGTGCTCCGATCCGTAAGAAAACTGGTGATCCAATTGCACAATTTCTCGGGAATTTCACAGGAAGGAAGCTTCGAAAGAAGCACTTTGTGTCAAACCCGATCGAAGACCTTCGCTATGTCCAAACTAACGGTCAACTCCTCCCCTTGGACTCTACTACCTCCGCCCATCTATGAGTTGAGTAACCCACAAGTTCACCAGCCGAGCGTCTCCGATGGAACACCCCATTGGTTGTCACTAATCAGCTAGTAATCCTCAAAGTACCTTATAAGCATGCAGTTAATAATTGTTTTCATTATTTTGGAAAACAAGGAGGTGATAGGCTTGTAGTTGGACGAATCCGAGTGGCCGCCTTTATGAGGGACCTAGTGCACAAAAGCTGTTTTTCGTGAAAAATGCACGCCAACTCCGGCGTCAATTCCGGATCACACATCTTCAGCACAATAGGTGAGACTCCATCAGAACCACTCGACTAGTCTGACGTCCAGGGAGAGAAGTGCTTTGCGCCTTTTTTGTGTAAACATGGGCCAGTGAGTTATCCTGTGCAGCGATGGTAGAGATGGCTGACAGAAGTTCCCTTGGAAAGCCTTGCCGAAAGACCAGAACGCACGTGTTCCCGAAGGAAGTCGAACTAGTTTCTCGCCAATTCTACCGATGCGCTCTGACTTTGCATTGTCAATGACATTTTTGAAGGACCTGGAGACGGGATATTTCTTTTCAAGAGTGTTGGTGCTTGCATCCTAAGACGTTGATGTTTTAGCTAAGGCCCTGTAGTACTCCTGCTTATGGCGTGATGCAATTTGACAGGAGTGACCAGACTGCTGCTGAGTTCTGCCTTCGATAGGCACCACAGATGATGGGATAAATAGTTGCATTCCCTGAAGTACTACATCAGTGAAAGAATCAACAACAACGCTGGGATTATCCGTCGAGAAGCAAACCCGATTTTTTCCATTCCACCCTGGGGGGTGGAAAGAAACCACATTATGTCTCAATCGGCCAACCTAAAGTGCCAAACTCAGCGGCAACCAGCAGAACGCAACCGAGATGGGACCATGAGTGGCACTGTACTCCAAATCAGAAAATTGTTCAAAGAGCCAAAAGGAGCATCGACTGGGACCTGACATCCGTCTGAATGAGAAGTCAGCAGAATGTCCAACAGGAAAGGTACACGATCTTCCACATCTACGAAATAGCCAGTGAAGTAACCAGTTCTTACCAGACCATATGTCAAGGCAAAGTCATAAACGTATCTACTCGCATGATCGATTAAACGGGAACTAACTATTCAGCATCATGGTCGTTAAAATCACAGAACATTACCATATCTGCGGATGGTACCTGTTAGCACATTTGAACGTGGTCGATGAGTTGGTCTGTGTCGGCATTACCGCTATGGGACCTATAGAGGCACCCATAGATGCGGGGATGATCCCAGAAGCTATATGGTGGCCAGGTCCGTACCTTCAAGACTGCCAAGGCGTGCCCTCTGACGTATACGCATACTTCAGCCCGAGGCACAAAGGAATGTACTACTTTGTATTCTGTGTAGGATAAACCCACAACGGATGCACAAATTGTAATCGAAAAAGGATTCATTATAATTTTGGAAGTCTAAAAGGAAGTAAGTCACGAAAGTTAAAAATAAAAAGCGTAGTATTAAAGGACTGATTTGTTGCGAAGTCTCTCATGATAAATAACTAATTATGTCTTTCCTTCGTTCTTCCTAACTTTGTGTACCTATTTGTTTGTCGCAGCGATAGAAACACATAAGGAAAAAATAATGTTATTTGAATCACACAAAGAGAAAAAATTATATTTCACTACGAAGAAAAGTTGTAATGGTGTTACAATACATTGTTAAATTGTAATGCTATAATTGTATAAGAAGTAAATAGCATGACGCATGTTGGCGGTAAGCTCATGTCGACTACAATGGATCCAAATGCCCGGATCTGTAATGGACGATTGGAAACAAATCGAAGCAGGTCTTTTGTAGCTCTGTATATTTCTATATCTGAAATTAAACATATTTTATTAAAATTATATATATAGAATATTTTACATAATAAGTAGAATTCTAAATGACCATATAATATTCAATTGATTTTTATCGTAAATAATACTATTTTGGATTGAATATAAGAGTAAAGGCTCTGTATTACTATTAAATTGTTTAAATCTACGGTTAACTAATATTATTCAAGTTTGGACAGAGCACACCGATAAAGTTGCTTGCAGATTTTTTTCAACTTGATATACAAATAAATTAAGAATATCGAAATGAAAACCAATTTAATTTAAGATAAAATAGCCTATATCACTCACAGAGTATGTACCTTTTTATTTTTAAAAGATTTTAGGATCGGTACAATAGTTTCCAAACACAAACAAATTTAACCCTTCAATAATGTTATTAAGTAATAAAGTATAGATAATCGGTTCGCTGGGCATAAATGAAGATTATAATCATTCACCATCATCGTCATCATAAATCATAGTAGGGGTAGACCGGCTTCATACATGTAAAATAAAAACATCACACCAAATTTTGTAACCTCAAAATTCCCCTGGTTGTTAATTTTTGCGAAACCCGTTATTAACTAATGTCTACATGTCAAAAGAAATATAACTGCTAATTAACAAACGGGAGTATATTAAAATTTAACATCCCTCCCAACTCCATACCACTCCATACCACTCCTTACGGAGAGTATTTTTAGTAAACATTTTTAGCTTATGCCTATAAAGTTAAAATTATACCAAAATAAATATAAATTGTATCCAGATTTGTAGAAAAGAAAAATAAGGCCATACACATAATCTTATCATATAATTATTAGTATAATTATTATATATATAATTATATATAGTATAATTATTTTATAGTATAATTATTCAGGTCCAGTTGACTTGCCGCCGCGGTCATCGGATTTAACCCCGTTGGATTGTTTCCTTCGGGGTCACAAAATTTTTTCGTAATTTAGAAAATTCAATAAAAAAAGTGGTAAATTACGTGTTACTTGAATATTTTCTGTGCTATGACCGTATAAATAAAATTAAATGTACGCCTCAGTGAGACCTAGGTGGATAACGTAATAAGTAAGTCAGATACAAAAGATATTCTATCTATGAGGGTGTGGGACTTGAACCTCTTATATGGGTTAATTAAATCGATAAAATGTGTGTGTATACAGCATTAAAGTTCGTACTACAAACCCGGACACATTATGTTATAGAAACAAATTTTTAGGTGGAGATCAATATAGGATATGAGGCTGAAATTGAGCACTGTAAATGTTATAGTTCAAAAACGGGATATTTATATAAAACACCCCCACAACCTACTTTCCAATATATACTGGAGCTGTTCTTGATGGATCTTTACCAAGCCTAAGTAACATGCCTACCAAGAAAACAGCATTACACTTAATTTCAAATGAAGAGAGAAACATACCTTGAAGTGAGTAAATTTGTAGTTTCGCCAGGCAGCGTTTTAATATATCTACATTATTTTGCATTTTCTGTGCCGCTTTTGACAGAAAAACTATTTCAACTTGGTTTAGTACTAGTTTAAAGCAAATTTTAAACAACGCCCATCTTTTAGTTTTAAATATCTGGAAGTATTTAAAAAAAATAAGACATATTAGTTTTAATTGATTGTTGTCTGATTGGTAAAAAATCAGTTCAAATATAAAATAATTGTAAAAATTTTTGGACCGTTGCGTAAATATATATATTTGATCAAGTATATATATTCGACTATAATATTCCACGGAGTTATGTTGTACCAAACTATTGAATAATTAAAATTAATTCACACTTTAATAAAGAGAGTCCTACGTAGCTTTTAAATCACTCGATATTGGCCTGACATCATTAAGTCCATCTTTATGATATCATTTGGATGTGAAATAAAGGTCAATTAATATCCTGTATTTTAATGAAATAAATGCAACCTTGATTTTTAACACATTCAAATAGCAAAAGTGTATTTATAATTGAACCTATTTCGAGTGAGTTAGTACTAAAGCGGGGAAAATTTTAGGCAAAACATCGCATTTCACACATCAATGACGTTCGTGCGCGTGCAATTGAACGACGAATATCCACTTTAAAAAAAATCGAAATTCCTTACGATTAAAGTAATGCGAATAATATGCAAAATGTGTTTCCAATAATACCTAAAAATAAAAATGTTTATTTATTTACTTTATTGGAGACAAAACAGAAACAAAAGATATGAAAGAAAAATATACAAGTAAAATAAGACAATGGTAATTACAATTGTTTCCTATAAGCTGTCTCACTAAGAACATATAGGCGCAAGGTATACGTTTAAAACGCAAATTAGTGTCTACTTTTAATTGTGTTATTTAGTCTTTTTTTTTATTGTGCCAATTATTATGATTTGCGTCTCTGTCTTCATAAAATTCTTGTACAATTAATATATAATAATAAATTTACGCAATAATTGCATTTCATAAGATAAACGTCGACTTTAATAGAGGCGTGAGATTTTTTTTCATAGGGTAGGGTGACAAACGGGCACACAGTACACCTGATGGTAAATGATTGCTGTGGCCCATAGACATCTACACCTATCCTTGATTAAGAATTAATATGCAAATGCATTTTCACCGGTGAGGACTAAGATGGAATGCCTCGTTTCCAGTAAAAAGGGTGTCCGGTTCTCTACACTCACCATAAGAAACACAGCAGCATTAAGCTACTATTTTACGATGTTATTCTGTGAGAGCGTGGTCCTTCCTCTATCAAGCCGACCCATACGTGCTACAACCGTACTAATAATATAACTGCAATATATCATAGACTAACTTATATACTAATAATAAATTTTTCCATTTTTCCATTTCTGAGGATTAAAATGAGAAGGTAAACAAAAAACCAGCACAACAGAGCACCATTTCAAAAATATTATTGACAGCCCAAATCCAATGCTAAATATATGTTGGCTTCTCCGAAGCTACGTCACGAAGTACGATCCGGAGCCGCTTACATCCATGAATTCCCTATGAAATTCTTCTATAAATTATCTATTATTTTCTAAAGGAGGTGAAAAACTAATATATTATATATTAATGTCGACGAAAATGTTAAATTATAAAATTTTATTTTGATGATTTATTTTAGACGGTTAGCTCAAATATTGTCGAACAAACACGCTGATAAAAAATGACTACCTTGCACAGGCGGGAGCGAGGCAGAAGATTTAAAACTTGTTTAATTAAGAAGATTTTAAATTTATTCAATTTTTATTTAACTTTAACTTTTCCGATCTAATGCTTATGCGATAAGACTGAAGGTAGGAAGGAATTGCCCAAATACTGACTTCGGTTGCTGTTCTAGCGATGTGAAAAGGATATTGACTTTCAAGCTTAATTGTAAACAGAAAACTGGAAATTTACAAACGACATACTTACAGTGACACTTATAAATGTAAATGCATATAAAAATATGCTGATGTATGCAATCGCTGATAACAACATTACCGTAATCTGAAACATTTAATTAAGATAATTATTAGAATTAGGCATAATTTAACTTAAATGTAAATTGTGAGTCTTCCCAATGTGTTTTTAGGATTAGTTGTTGATAGTGTACGAAATTGAGGGACGGTGAGAGGTCTTTAATATTAAATTTAATTCAAATTTTAGTCAACAATTAAAAGGCTCCTATGGTAGGTCTCTACACAGAAACATGCTTCGACTACTATGTGACTTCAAGTTACAAATAATTAGAAAGTTCGTATTGTTTGGATTTTGAATATCAAGGATATTCTAGCTAGAACTTTATTATGTACATGTTATGCTCTAGGGCGTTGACTACACTACTCCGGCATACAATGATAAGCTCGACGAAGTGGCTCGATGAAATTTGCTCATCGAGCATGTTCGTTCGTTGAGTAAGTTCATGCTTCGTTGAGTAAGTGAAAGAAACATCACATCTTACCTGTAGTCCAAAAATAAAATTGAAAAGTTTTGTTGCCTCGATAAGATGTGTATACGCAAAAGACCACTGTTGTATCTTGTTACTTTGTTCCCTGTATGTCAAAACAGGTAACTCGCCGTCGTCTATTTGTTCAAAAATTTCGGCCATGGTATTTATATGTATTTATTCATTTAAGCTGATCAGTTAATACATTCAGTATTGTGTATAATACGATAAATTCATAAAAGTAGCAAATATCACACAGTATCAAATTTATTTGTAATATATACGACAAAAGTTTGGTGATACCGTCAATAAAAAAAATGTCATATATTGAACCGGCTAATAGGATAATGATTTTATAAAAAACGAACACTAGTAAAACAACAAAAATTAATTTACTTTTCTTTTCAAATGTTTTAAGAAACAGGTCATCCTTTTCATAAATAGGAATATTGTCTGATAAGATGGATATAAATTTTTTAAAAGACTTCGTATGATAACAAGCCGTCATTATAAAAAACAATGAATTTCCGAAACTTATATTAAGACGTAAGATCATTTCAAAATTCAGAAGAGAGTGAAAATACCCACAAACTATAATATTTGAAAAGCATACTGTACAGGAACGGGAGGCAGGTGCTCTTCAATGATTGATTTATTGAACGTTTGTTGGTTATATTTAAGTCGTCTTATTGCTAACAGTGTGTATCAGGTAATAATCAAAATTTAATACAGACAGATCTTATAACTAATTGCACGACGTGCTGTGATTGGTTGCTAACAATGACGAGCTCTGATTCGTAGCTAAAAGTTTGGTGTTCCGGTGCGTCGCTAGGCGGCGTTAGAAGTCGCGCCAACATGCCGGCCGCCTTGGAAGCTCCAGCTTCCAATGATGTATCTACGTTGCCGCTTGATTGGAGATACCGCAGGCTGCATTCATGTTGTCGTCCTCTGCTGATGATACAGGCAGAGGGCAGATTTTCGAGAACGCTCGTTGTACAGGACCCGTAGCAGTTTGGATGGTGGCGACACGCGACACGCCGTCTTTTCCGGGGAAAATATGGGTAACTCTGCCCATACGCCATTTAAGGGGTGGTAAATTGTCCTCCTTAATAACGACAAGCGTGTTTAATGCTATGTCTTCACTGTTCGCCTTCCACTTCGTTCTTGTCTGAAGTTCAGCAACATACTCTTGTGACCAGCGTTTCCAGAAGTGCTGTTTTATTTGTTCCACTCTTTGAAACCGTTTCAAGCTGTGAGTCCGTGCTTCGGTGAGGTCTCTACAGGCTGGTGCAGTGAGTGGCCGGCCGATGAGGAAATGAGCTGGGCTTAGTGGACGAAGATCATGGGGATCTGAGGACATAGGACTTATAGGACGGGAGTTTAGGACTGCTTCGATCTGTGCCAACACAGTGCTGAACTCCTCGTATGTCAAGTTAGCGGTACCCACGACACGCTTAAGGTGGAACTTACATGATTTTACTCCTGCTTCCCACAATCCCCCAAAATGAGGAGCATAAGGGGGAATAAATTTAAATTCAATATTGTCAGTTGATAATCTATCAATTATTTGCTTTGAATTTCGCTCTAACATTTTGTTAATCTCTTTCATGGCTCCAATGAAAGTTCTACCGTTATCTGAGAAAATTTGAGCTGGTTTACCTCGTCGTGAGATAAATCTTTTAAGTGCTAATATAAATTCTTGAGCAGCTAACGTACTGACAAGTTCTAGATGAATGGCCCGGGTAACAAAACAAACGAATATGCAAATATAGCCCTTTTTCCAATTTAGCTCCCCTTCCTTTGCGATTCAGTACGTTTATGGGACCCGCATAATCCACTCCACATCGAATGAATGGGAAACCAGGTTCTATTCGTTCAGACGGAAGGTTGCCCATGATTGGTGTTAGGGTTTTACCTTTCATTCGAGTGCAGCGAACACATTGGTGGACAACCTTTCTAGCTAGGTTTCTCACCCTAACGGCCACCAATTCTCACGCACGGTGGCCAATAGCAGCTGGGACCAGCATGAAGAAGCTCTTTGTGTTGATGTTGAAACAACAATTGTGTGAAGTTGTGTTTACTTGATAAAAGTATCGGGTGCTTCTTGTCGTAATGAAAGTCAGGCGAGTTACTAAGACGGCCACCTACTCTAATTATATCCCTTTCATCTAGAAATATATTAAGCCTAGAAATCGAACCTGAAGTTTTTAAAGGTAAGTTATGTTTTAACTTATCATATTCCATCGGAAACGATTCGCGTTGAGCAAGACGCGCTAACGACTGTAAGGAGTCATTCAATTCGTCTACTGATAACGGCCCCTGTGTACGATCTTTCTTTGGTGTGCGTAAGTTATGTATGTATCGCAACAGGTAAGCGCCGGCGCGCACGATACGCTGATAAGAACGAAACCTTTCAAAATTAATAATTTTATTCTTTGTTACATCACAAACCATAACCGTTGTCGTTTGTGATTTTAGTTCTGGTAAGTCGGAGTGTGTAGTCGAAGATTGCTGTGACCATGCCGACTCAGAATTTTTTAAGAACTCAGGTCCGCTCCACCACAGATTACTGTCAATGAGTACATCAAGACTAAGACCCCGCGAGACCAGATCCGCTGGGTTATTTTTGGTTCCTACATGTAACCATAACGCATTACTTGTTATTTCATTAATCTCCACTATTCTATTTTGAACGAATGTTTTTAACGAATGTGGTGACATACGTAGCCATCCAAGGACAATAGTTGAGTCTGTCCAAAAAGTAAATTTTGTGGAAATTAACACGCAATGACTCGATTATTTTCCTATATAATTGTGCGCCTATTAAAGCCCCGCACAGTTCTAATCGGGGTATGCTGACTGGTTTAATTGGTGCAACTTTACTCTTTGCACACAATAATCTAACAGTCACCGATGAGTCATCAGAGTAGGTGCGAACATATGCGCATGCACCATACGCACTCTGCGACGCGTCCGTGAATACGTGTAATTCTATAAACTGTGTGTGTGCGCTCATAACATGACGCGGAATGCGTAGGTTATGCAAATATTGAAGTGTGTCAATAAATTTTTCCCAGGATAAAGCAACATCACTGGGAACGGGATCATCCCAATTTATCTTGCACAACCACACTTTTTGCATCAATATTTTAGCTACTACGACAGCCGGTGTTAAAATTCCTGGAGGATCGTATATTTGTGCGATTATCGACAACATTGTACGTTTATTTGGTAAATTCGGTCTAACTACTCGTGTGATAAAATGAAGTTCATCACTTTTTATTATACCAACCCACTCCTAAAGTCTTAGTTTGGGAATGTTCTCCTAATGACAAGTCTTTAGATATGTCGTGGTCACTGATATCAACGTTAAACAACCACTTACGCAACGGTAAACAAGCCGAGTTTAAAGTATTTCGTAACTTCTCACAGGTATCGAGTAAGCTATTTAAATTATTGTCACCTAGGATGACGTCATCAACGAAAAAATCCTCTCGGATTACTCTCGCAACCTGCTGATCCTTACATTCCAGCGCAAGCTGACGTAAACATCTCATACTAAGGTATGGCGCAGACGCAGTGCCATACGTCACGGTGTTTAGGCGATATACACGTATTGGGTCCGACGGAAGTTTACGCCATAATATCAATTGTAAATCTCGTTGATCTGGTTGTACAAGAAAATTCCGAAACATTTTCTCAACGTCCGCACAACCCACGTATTTATATTGCCTAAAGCGTAATAAAATGCTAAAAATGTCATTCTGAAGTGGTGGACCAATATGTTGAATATCGTTCAACGACTTACCGGACGACGTCGCTGCGCTTGCATCGAAAACAGTGCGCAGTTTAGTCGTACTGCTATTTTCGTTAATAACGCCGTGATGCGGCAAAAAATAGTGGGGTGACTCATAAGTGTCAACGCAACTCATATGACCGAGCCTTTCATATTCCCCCATAAAATCTACGTATTTTTCCCAAAATTGTGGCGAACGAGCGAATTTTCGTTCTAACGACAACAAACGTTTTTCAGCCGTTGTGTAACTGTCTCCGAGCACATCAGCTGATTCCTTTAAAGGAATGCGTACGGAAAACCTACCATCTTCCATACGTTTTGTCGTTTTGACAAAAATGTCTTCGCACGCACGTTCGTCAGCACTAAGGATGTTTTTATTAACGTTATTGTTTATCTCTTCGAGTTCCCAAAATAATTTCAACTGTGTGTCAATTGTTTGGGAGAAATTACATTGCACACTCTTAACGGGAAGTGGGTTATTACGTAAAGGTCCCGACATTATCCAACCCAATTTTGTATTTTGTAAATAAGGTCCTTTATTCAACTTAATTTTGCCATCACACAATAATTCCCAGAACTTATCCGCGCCTATCAGTATATCGATGTCTGACGGTGAGTGAAAGTTCGGATCCGCAAGTTGAATATTATCAGGTAAACTCATATTATTTACATCGACACTAAATGTGGGTAATTGATTTGTAATGCACGGCAACACTAAACAATCAATGTTCATACAAAACGAATTTAACCTTGAACGTAATTTTATTTTACAAATGTGGGTGGACTGCGAAATTATTTGACCTACCCCAGCAACGTGATAAGTGGACTGTATTAACGGTGCATTTAATGTTTCACATAACGATTTCTTTATGAAACAATGTTGACTACCATTATCAAGCAGAATGCGTACAGTGTGATATTTGTTATTATAATCTGCTATGTCCACTAACGCTGTGGACAGCAAAACGTTGGGTAATAACGAATATTCCTGATTACTGTTTTGCGATTCTGAATGGTTAGCCGTAACGTGTAATGATGACGAGACAGTGGAGACGTTAGCGGTGACCGGCTGTGCTGATGCACTCGACCCGCTCACCTGTGATGCGCCGTCTACCTGCCCATCAATGTGAAGCAAACTGTTGTGCCTTTTATCACACAACCTACATGGCCCAAACTTGCATTCGTCAAGTGGGTGGGTTGCGCGTAAACAATTGATGCACAGCTGATGCGTTTTAACTATCTTATTCCTTTCTTGGATAGACGAATTAAGAAACCTTGAACAGGAATAAATCGCGTGATTACCATGACACATCACACACACGCGGCTTTGTTTTAGTTTCGTATTACCCTTATTGTTATTGTTAGTAACGTTCGTAGCAACATGAGTATGTGTATATTGTTTCTTAGAGCGCGTTTGTTCACCGCTTTTGTTCTCGTGGGATTTGTTATGGTTCACTTTTATCATTTCTAAAACGTCGGCGCGGTCCTTAAGAAATTTAAGTAAGTCGTCCAGTTTCAAAGCTGACCTCGATTCAATTAACGAACTAGCTGTACCTTGAAAATCTTCCCATTTGCGTTCAGTGGCCTGATCTAATTTGGAAACGACCATGTAAATGATTAAAGTGTCCCATGAATCTGTTGGTTCACCTAACGTTTTAAGGGCACGCAAATTTCTCAAAACAATATCTATTAAGTTCCTAATCTGGGAAGCGGACTCTTTATTTAACGATGGAATTTTAAATAATGCCTTCACATGATTATGAACCAATAGTCGCGGATTATTAAATCTATTCTCTAATAGCTCCCATGCGTGATAGTAGTTGTGAGCCGTAAATTCTAATGCACCTATGACGTGTTCCGCGGTACCGGACAATGACGATTTTAAATAATGAAATTTTTGAACAGGACCTAAATCATCGCGATCATGAATCATACTAACGTAAGAATTTTTAAACTCTAGCCAGCAATTGTATGAACCGTTAAAGGAAGTTATTTTAATATCGGGTAACTTTATGTCTATCGGCTTACATGTTGAAACACTAGACTTGTCAGCTACTTCCTTTCTCAATAAAAGTTTTGCAGAAGCTACAGCACAATAAAATTGATTTTCAAAACGATCTCTCTCTTCCAGCTGTTTTACAAGATCGAGATCTTCCGCTACCTCTTCTTCAATTTTAGTCTGTATTTCACTATACATCTCTATCAAACTCGAAGTACTCTCGACACGTAAATTTAATTCTAATGACTGTTGTTCAGTCAAGGGTAAAGTGAACTTTTTAACATAATTTTCAAACAGAGTTAATCGACCTTTTAAAACTCCTCTTTTCTTAATTAAATCTGGCAATTTCGGCTCACTCATGTTGGGAAATTAAGAAAATCAAGAGTACTTACAGTTGCAAATTTGTAGATGTGTGCGAACCAAGGTGGGTGCCGTTGCGCAGGTAGGTACCGCTACTTGAGCACTGGAAATGGAATATCAGCACGAAATCAACACCTATCGAAGGATGAGATGGGGAAACGGACGGAAAGTTTAAACCTGCCACTCCTGTCTGTTGATGCCTTAACGTTGCAGCTCTTCGCTCGATACGTGAATCTCCTCTTCGTATTTTGATGCGACGAATCTTCGGAGATTCCAAGCTTGAACTCCTTATTCGGCTCGATAGGACCACTTTATGTACAGGAACGGGAGGCAGGTGCTCTTCAATGATTGATTTATTGAACGTTTGTTGGTTATATTTAAGTCGTCTTATTGCTAACAGTGTGTATCAGGTAATAATCAAAATTTAATACAGACAGATCTTATAACTAATTGCACGACGTGCTGTGATTGGTTGCTAACAATGACGAGCTCTGATTCGTAGCTAAAAGTTTGGTGTTCCGGTGCGTCGCTAGGCGGCGTTAGAAGTCGCGCCAACACATACTAACGTTTCTAATAACACTAATAAATACATTAAATATTTCGAATATCTTTTATTTATAAAGGATATGTTTCTAAATACGAAAAGTAAATTTTCAATGAGAAGTATGCGTTTTAAAGGTTTCAAAATAAACATTTTGTCAGTTAATAGACTATATAGACTATTTGCAACAGATTATAATGATATACTGTACTTTTATTGGGAAACGAAATTCAATTTATTAAATAATACATTACATTAATTAAACATATTAAAAATTGTGTTACCTTTACTACCAGAACGTACCGATGTATAAATATACTTAAAGGTCAACTCACACTGACGCGGCGGACGACTGTGGGTCCCTGATTTCATTTATGAAATAAGAGTGACAAAAAACCCAACAATCTGCACGATGTTAAGTGGCTGACCAAGAATATAACCTTCGTAAAAAGGTTTTGCAGATAAGTTAACATAGGATAATGTTGAAATATTTTACAGATTTTAAAGTATACTGGTTTTCTTTCCTTTCCAATCGCGACATAGTATTGGGTGTACTCTGCTTCTTGGCGACAGAAATAGGTACGAAGTTTAAGCAAAATCCACATGAAATCCTAGATAAAAAGAAGTACAACCATCTTGTGAAGATATTTGAAGCTGCTGTTTTTGTGAATAACTATGCTGCCTCAACTTGTGGCGCTTGATACAAAGCGACACAATGCGTGGGGTGTTATTTATTGAACGTCCTCGCCGCAGTGCGAGTTGACCCTAATATCATGAATCGTGACTAATAAAAATTTAATGAATTGAATTTTATGAGTGTTCTATTGTTTAATTATTTTCATGGATCAAAGTGCCTGAAATATCGAGCATCTAGAAAATATAGAAATAGAAGAGGGGACCAAGTACAATATTAGATAAGCCATACGTCAGGGTACTAGTAGTATTCTGATATAGCCTATAAATAAATAAGTATCACGGCAAATAATATACAAAAATTATGATGTTCTTCGGTCCAATTATGCCTTCGCAACAATTTCTGAATTCTAATCCTGTGTTGTAGTATTTGGTATTTCTTTCGCCCTCAGGTTCCTTATAACCTTATTTATGCATTTAGATAGTTCATTCATGGCGGTAATTATAATGATCATATTATGAAGTTTAATTACTATAATAGTCACGTTTAAATTCAGGAAGCAAAACGATCATGTTGCCAATTGCGGAACATGTTTGAATGTTTGAGAGGATTTTTTTAATATAATAGATAATCATCCATCAAATGCCTTGCTGTGGTGACAAATCCATCGGACCACTTTGTGTCGTGGCTAGGATAGTAGAAAAAATTCAGAGGGATATATAACGTTATGCCCATCTCCTTTACGCCAGTTGTAAAATACAAGGCAGCTTGATAAATTGCCTGACGTCTGGTGCTGCAATCACCAAAACGCCTGCCTGGTGAGGTAAACAATCTTCGTACAGTGAGAAGGCACATATCTAACTATTAACAATTATGAAACTGCCTTCCGTGAGCAAGTGATGTCGCCGAAGGAGGCTGGGGAAAAGGAAAGGAAGAGAGCAGTCGTTAAATTATTTCGCAGCTGGAAACTCGGGCGCCACGTATTTAGTGGCCTCCACTATGCTACTTAAATTTGGCCCGGGTGGTGGTCACGGAAGTAGCCCTCCAGCTTAACTTTATGGTAGCTAAGTGTTGTGCGAGGTATTTTATCATATAAAGGAGGAAGGAAAATTTTCAGCTTCACTTTATTAAGTCTAATTGTCAAATAATCTGTCTTCCAACCGTTTGTTATTCCGGCTTACGCTTTACGGATTACTATACTTAGATTCAAACATTTACGTATAACATTTGAGAACGAAAATTAGCAGCTATTTTTAATCTTGCTCAAGCTGACTTATACCTGAAAGCTGAGATTACCGAGGAAGCCAATTTCACTCAAAGTTCTCGTCGCTTGTAAATAACGCTAGCACAGTCGGTTTTCAGAGAGATTACCAAACAAGTCTATGTTGGAGATCGATTATTCTTGCATTTTGGAGACAACATGTTTGTTAAATTACTTTTAGGCTCTCGTATCTGCTAAAGACTGTAGTTTTATTTCTCGTCTAATTGTTATGAAATTATAAGTGTGATCACCCTTAAATTTCATAGTACCTACGTGAGCAAACGGAGTTTGATTCTCACAAGCCTTAATGAAAATTTTAATTGAAACTTAGGTACTTATTTACCACGTAGTCGTCGGTAATGTTAAAAATCATGAGAGAACTAATAAGTCCTCAATTAGTCGAAGTATTTTTGGCTTCTCAGTCGGTCGCCGGTCTTACATGATCAAGTTTGCTCCTTTTAATTTTAAATTTATTGATTACAGGGTCCCAAGCAGGTGATAGTACCCAGCCTCCTTCTCTATTGTAATTAGGATGTTTTTTATTTCAATAGCCTCACGTATTATCCTTGGTAGGAATCGATGTTCTTTTGCGAGGATTTGTGGTCTGTTAAATCTGATGTAATGGTTAGAGTTGCCTAAGATATGATCACAAACTGCAGACATCTCTATCCTGTGAAGTTCCTGCGTTGTTCCTGTGAAAGAATATCGATTCCTATCAAGGATGATACGTGAGGTTATTGAAATTAAAAAATATCCTAATTTCAATAGTCAAGGAGGCTGGGTACTACCACATGCTTGCCCATGCATGCCCTGTAATTAATAAAATTAGAACTAAACTCAAGCATACCACTGCAAGACTTCAAGACAGAGTAAATTCATTCCTTTTTTTACTTTGAGTTCGGCTCGGTACACCATAGTGAACAGTGGTGTCCTTGCAAGTTGCGCATCTAAGACCAATGTCATAGACCCCTGCCTTACGAGTATTATACGCTCATATCGTATCGGTCACTGGTCATCGCTACCGCGGACTGTCCAACGACGTCGATTTCACGTTTATGGACTTTAACGTGGCAGCTCTGTGTCTCACACGATTGGTTTTGTGAGTTTATTGTGTTTGTGCACAGTGTGGAGTGACGTTGTAGCCAGTTTACCTACATCATTATGTTCAAGACTCTGCGTACACCGCTCACTACACTGACTACGTTAATGCAATACTAATCAGATCCAAATATCGCTGTAGTTGGCAATACAGCTAAGGAGAACATTAATGTAAATCCACGTAATAAGCGCCCAAGGAGTGAAGCTTCCCCTATCAATGAATTACATAATTTTAAGGAAGAACTAAAACGAGAAATTGAAGCTATGTTTGCCTCTTGGAACAAAATTCAAACACGTACACTATCTGAAAAAATAGAACAACAACAGTCTACCATCTTGAACAAATTGGTGTCCGAGGTAAATGAGTTAAATACACAAAACTCTGAATTGAATAAATCCTTTCTTGAGGTAGAAAAATTAGTAAAATTCGTTAGTACACAATATGATGATATTTCAAAAAATGTTCTGGACTTGGAAAATGGAAATTCTTACTTAACGCAGAAAGTCAAGGCACTTGAAAATTCCATCAAAGATCTACAACTTTTTTCTCGTAGCTCCACTATAGAGATCAGAAATGTTCTCGTTAAAGACAATGAAACACTTGACGACCTAGTATCTGTTGTTACTGGAATTGAAAAAATAATCGACGAAAATATAACTCCAACAGACCTCAGGGATTAGCGACGGGTGCCCGGAAAACAGGCTGTGCCAAAACCAATTCTTGCAGAATTCACAAATGTCAACGTTAAGCGAAGCTTTATATCCAGCACGAGGAATTTCAACAAAAAGTCCAAAAACAAACACGACAAACTAAATACAGAATTGATAGGTATCTCGGGGACGCGTATGCCCATATATGTATCTGAGTTCCTGCCATTACAAATGAAAAAACTTCTCTTCCGTACACAAGAATTTGCAAAAACCAACGGGTACAAATATTGTTGGACTTCAAACGGAATCGTTTACCTTAGGAAGAAAGAGGGAGACAAGCAAATTATAGTAAAATCAGAACAAACCCTGATAGATCTGCAGAAAACCATATGACTAGACCAAGAAATTTATTTTTGTAATTTTGCTATTTTATACATAAACTGTTGTTTATATCATAATTTTTTAATGTCTTCCTTATTATTTTCTCAATTTATATTTATAACGTAAATACCATATACACAAATCCATTACAATCTAATACAATACTCTTACACTTGCTCTCATAATCTCAATTACATTCTCTAACACACACACTCGCTCCCAATCATAAGCACCAAATAACACACTCATACGATCTATTAATTATCACTGAGATATATTTTAAGCCTACTACTACCTATATAATGCATGTTAAAGAGCTAAAAAACTATATGTTTCCCATGCTTAGCAGTCCAAAACTTTTCATAAATGGCTAATGATATTGTTACGAGCTTGAGGTTCGTGACAATAAAAATTGCCGATAGAATTACCTAAATTAACACTTTAATTTTCTTTACACGAATTAAAACTTAAAACACTAATCACACTGATTTACTTTATTTCGCTCCGAAGCTTCGCTTGTCTCGCCAAATTCAATACTTCCCCGATCGCATCTTGCAGCGCCTATAAATACAAATTAGCACCGAAATATCCAGAATATTCAAGTAAACATGCGCAAGGCGTCGAGAGTTCGAGTGTCAGCATCTAGAAGCTTAGTTCTTCGTTTCGACTAGATGGCGCTGTCGGTTGAAACATTAGTGATGTCATTTTCTGGACAGCTCCCTTCGCTCTCGTCCCTGACACTAGATAGCGCTAGTGCCGGGTACATGACGTCGACTTAGGCACGCAACACTGCCCCCTCCTAAGAAATGCTCGTCCCGAGCATTATCGGCGCATAATAACGCGCCAAGCGATCCACATGGACGATCTTAGAAGTCCCTCTTGCGCCTTTCTGTATCCGGTAGGTTACATCGTTGTTCCTGGTTACAATCCGGTACGGGCCGTCCCATTTAGCTTGAAGCTTAGGAGATTTCCCTTTGCTGCGGACTGGATTGTGCAGCCACACTAGTGAACCTTCGTCGAACCCTTTGTTGTTCATTTTGCGGTCATACCGGGTTTTCATCTTCTCAGACATTTGCTGGCCCGATTGTCTGACGTGCTCATAAATGACATTCATTTAGTTCCGCAAGTCATTTGCATAATCGGTTATACTGCGTGGGGCATCAGGTGGTATCCCGGTAATGAGGTCTGCAGGCAGCCGTAATTCTCTTCCAAAGTTTGCGAAAGCTGGTGTCACTGCTGTACTTACGTGAACAGAACTTGTATATGACAACAAAAACGGTTGTATGTGCTTGTCCCAATCTCGTTGCCGATTGTCTACAACTTTTGCTTGGTACCTCTCCAATGTCTGATTAAATCGTTCTACCATTCCATCAGATTGCGAGTGATAAGAAGTCGTTCTTGTTTTATGAGTACCCATAACTCGGCGGCGTTTCGTGGAATATTTGAGACTCAAAATTCCTTCCTTGATCGCTGTGAATCTCTAAAGGTACTCCAAAACGACAGAAGACTTCATGAACTAGTTTATCTGCAACTGTTGAAGCTTCTTGATTTGGAATGGCGAAGACTTCTGGCCACTTAGTGAAGTAATCCATCACAACCATGAAATACTTGTTACCGCTTTCACTCTCCGGAAACGGCCCCGCCACGCCAATGGCTATTCTCTCCCAAATTATGATATTAAAATAAAATTAAATCAAATTCATCATCAAATTACAATATTCAAATAAAATTAAACCAAATTTAGAATCTATTGACTCACCATCTAACTTCTTGCACTCTTCTTCACATTCTATGGTTATCCTCGAAATCGATGAAGATGAAGTACATGATGCTATTATGAGCCTACGGAATGACAGTGCTGTCGGGTGGGATGACATACCAGCCCAAATTTTTAAATCAAACCCAGTTCTTACACCTATAATTACCTACATATTTAACTTGGCGGTATCCACTGGGAAGTTTCCTGTCGCCCTGAAAAGGGCAATTGTACATCCCATCTATAAAAGTGGAGACAGTTGCAATGTCACAAATTACCGCCCAATTTCTGTCTTGCCCGCTCTGTCTAAAGTATTTGAGCGTATCCTACGCCGCCATTTGGTTCGCTTTCTTGAATCAAATAGCTTCCTCTTACTCTAAACATCCTCTTACCTCCGACAACAATCGACAAAGGAGTCGAGTGTTGTCGATACCACCCCTTTTCTTGGAATTACATAAGACGTGAAACTTTAATGGGGCCCCCATATATCAAAACTGGCACATAGACTTATTTCTGGCGAATGAGTAAGTTCTTCAGCGTTTGCTGTAAAAAGATTTGAAATCTTATCAGTGTGAAAATAGCTACACTAGTTTATTTTAGCTACTTCCATACCAAAATCAATTTGGCATTGGAAGGGGCAGGTCCACCCAGGCTGATGTTGCTTCCCTAATAGAGCATGTAGTTAGCGAACTCAACGAAGGCAGTAAATGTCTGGGTATTTTCCTGGACCTTGCTAAGGCATTTGACGCTGTCTCTATCCCAATACTGTTAAATAAGTTGGAGATGCTGGGTGTCAGGGGTCGTATCCTGGAAATATTTGCTGATTACTTATCAGGTCAGACGCAGTGCAGAATGATAGGCTCTTTCGTCAGCAATACGAAGCCCTTGAATTTGGAGTTCTTCAGGGTAGCATTTTATGGCCCACGTTATTCCTGTCCTACGTAAATGAGCTTTGTGACTTACCTCTATCTGATTGCCGCATTGTTACTTATGCTTATGACACGGTCCTTGTTGTTTTTGGGAACAACTGGTCCGAAACAATTTATTTGGCAGAGAATAATTTTAGAATGGTTATGACGTTGCTAAATCGTAATTTTCTAAACTTAAATATAGATAAGACTAAATTAATAATCTTTTCTATAAGACCCTCTGCACAACCACAAAGCGAGTGCTTCGATATGCGTGCTCAAGATTGCTCCAGTGGGACTTCTCACTGTAGTTGCCCAAAATTGTAAAAAACCCGTACTATTAAATACTTGGGCATTCAAGTGGATAATTGTTTGAACTGGTATAGTCAAGTAGAATCCGTTGCAGTTACGTAACCTAATCTACATCTTTAAAACACTACGTAGTTCCGATGCAGATATCCTGTCATCTGTGTACACCGCCTTTTGAGAGTTAATGAATATAGGGTTGTGCCTCTAAGACTACCTTCATTAAAATTGAGCGCGCACAGAGGGTGGTGTTAAAGGTTATGCATAAGCGGCCTTGGAGATACATAACTTATTATCGATTGTAATGTACCTACAGTTAGGCAACTTTACATTCTTTACTCCATTCTGAATCTACACTCTACTGTACCTCCAAATAGTTTTTCCAAACCAGAGAGACGTCAAAAAGCAGAATGTCCTGTTGGTGTAGGACTTCTTTTGATAAAAAGCAATTATCCTCTTCAAGCTCGCAGTTATACAATAAACTCGACAAAACGTTACAGATAAATAAGTTGAACGCCTACAAAGTTAAAAAAGGTAATTTAGTACCTTAATGAATTAAATTACAGTGCCACTAAAGCTTTGATATCCTAAACCCTACAAACTGTATACATAAACATTCTGTATACACACACACACACACACACACACACACACGCGCGCGCGCGCACACTCACACACACACACACACACACATATATTTAGATTATACTTTCTTTTTCCTTAACAGCCTGTTTTTCAAATGCTTGCCATAATGTAATCACCAATTAAATCAACTCGCTATGCTGTTATATAAAATACCTTTTAAGGAGCCGAACCACTGATTTTCATAACACAGGTTATCCTAGCATGAAAGTCAGAGGATCAACTTATCTATAAGTCCCTTATGATAGCTATCTAAAAAAATCTGCATAGATCGAACCATAAACAATAATTAAAAGCTGAAGATACTCCGGGTTAACATTGACATCGGAACGTCACTCACCTCAGTCCCCGTGACCATGGGTGCTAGAAAGCACCCGAAATGTCGGAAATTAAAAATCAATTAAAATTAAACGCAATAAAATCCGTAAAAGTTGTTTTTATCAATTTTTTTTTAGTTAGGTATAGGATCCCAAGCAGATGACATCACACAGCCATCTTCCCAGACATCAGACTAATAAACTTCACATTGTTCTCGAACTGGTTGTCTATTATTAGCAAACACGTAGGTACAAACGTATCAAAAAAGTCATACAGCTCCATAGTCAGTGAATTGATTGTAGCACCCGAAACGTAAATTAAAATAAAGTGGAAATATTTTTTGCTTTGAAATTTAAATTAAAATTTTCACTATTATCACTTTATCAGTCTGTGATGCAAATTAAAATCTAACAAAAAATTTTAATTAGGAAAAAATTAAAATGTTATAAAATATACACGCAAAGATAATAAATATATTTCACTATGAAGAAACAAACTGTAATAGTGTTACAATACGTTGTTAAATTGTAATACAATAATTGTATAAGAAGTTAATAGCATGACGCACGTTGGGGGTAAGCTCATGTCGACTACAATGGATCCAAATGCCCGGATCTGTAATGGACGACTGGAAACAAATCGAAGCAGGTCTTTTGTAGCTCTGTATATGTCAATGTCTGAAAATAAATACTTATTATTTTTACACATTAAGCGTAGAT